GGTAAGGGACGGGAGGGAGGGGTAGGATGTCAGATATGACGCGAGCGCACCTAGCTTGTCCTCCTCCCCCTCCCCCACCGCCTCCCCCTCCCCCTCTCCCTCCTTCTTCTCCTCCTCCTCCTCCTCCTCCTCCTCCTCCTCCTCCACCTTCCTCCTCCATCGGCGCCCATCTGCGCCCACCGTTCCCTGGTGAGTGCGGCAACTGCCCGGCACGATCTCCGTGCGGAGCGTGCCCGCGTCCTTCTGTCTGCGGTGGGCCTATGTGTTAGGGGGAAAACTAACCTACCTCGCTTTTGCAAGGGCTCCCAACTTCGCGCTTCGCGCTGCGCGAAGCGCGAAGTGCGAATAACTTCGCGCTCTCGCGCCGCCTCCCAGGGGAGAAGAGGAGGATGAGGAGGAATCGGAGCCGAAGCGCGAAGCGCGAAGCGCGAATAACTTCGCGCCCTCGAGGGCGCCCTTGGTTTTGACCACCCTCGCTTCCAAGAGATACCAAACGATGCCCAATTGCAGCCTGTACTGGTCAGGCCGCCTGACGAGGAGGCGCGTGGTACGGCTTGGTTTTGCCTGGAAGCGAAAGCGGGGTAGGTAATTCACGCTCTGATGTGTGGGACACGTGCGGGAAGGGCCCGAGGACGGCAAGAGGGCAGAAGACAGGGGACCAAAGACACGGAGAGGGGGACCACGGAACACGACGGAGGAGCCCCTGCGATCCGACGCCCCAAAAAATTGGAGCAGGCGGTTTTTGACAACTTTCGGCCCCCCCAGACCTCCTCGCGTCGTGAAAAAATCACGACGGGAGGTTTTTCGCTATTTTCGGCCTCCGCGGGCCCTCGCCGGGCCTCGGGAGCGTCAAAAAACGACTCAGGACGAAAAACCGGTCCTGGGGAAGCGGTCCGGCCATCCGGGGTCCACGCACCAGAACATTGGAGCAGCCTGATGTCTGGGGTTGCAGATTGAGAACGTACCCCGAGGCATCTTTAGCCAACTGCGCCGCCCAACGGCTTTCAGATCTCCCAGAAGACACCGCACTACAACGGAGGATTGCAATCCTTCGTTTGTAGTGCGGAGGATTGCAAAAAAACCCTGGATTGCAAAAAAACCCTGGGCGAAGGATTGCAAAAAAAAACCCTGGGCGAAGGGTTTTTTTGCAATCCTGCGGGTTTTTTTCGCAATCCTGGGCGAAGGATTGCAATCCTTCGTTGCAATCCTTCGCCCAGAGGTGCTCCCCCGCGCGCCGTCCAGTGGAGCAGGGCCTCTGCCCGGACGGTCCGCGCGTGCCGATTGCCAGCCTTCGCCTGCTGGTCTTCTGGTGTACACTGTTAGGGGCCCTGGGCGAGAGCACCTGGCTGTGCAAGGACGGGCGCTGCGGAGAGAGAGAGAGAGAGAGAGAAAAAAAAAACAAAAAAAAAAAGAAGAAAGAGAGAGAGAGGGAGGGAGAGGGAGAGAGAGAGAGAGAGGGGGAAAGGGAGGGAGATGGAAGCCAGAAGAGAGCGGAAGGACATTAGACACGCGTTGGCCTCGTGATCCGCCCAACGTGTAAGTTGCCGGCCGCCCGTTTAACACACACAGACACAGACACAGACACACAGACACACAGACACACAGACACACAGACACACAGACACACAGACACACAGACACACAGACACACAGACACACAGACGCACAAACACACACACACACACACACTGACACACAGACACACAGACACACAGATACACAAACACAAACACACAAACACACACACACACACACACACACACACGCACGCACGCACGCACGCACGCACGCACGCACGCACGCACGCACGCACACACGCACACACGCACACACACATACTGACTCAGTCACTCACTCACACAGACACAACACACACATACACGCACGCGCGCACGCGCGCACGCACGCGCGCACGCACATGCCGACCACCTACGCCACCAACTCGACAGCCCCCCAGTCACGACTCCACCGATGGGACGCCAGAGGCAGGGACCGAAACGCTTTACATACGTAGGAGAGAGAGAGAGAGAGAGAGAAAGCCACGCGCGTAGCCTGATTCACAGGGGGAAGCGTGTGTGGTGGCTGGTACGTGTTGCCTGTTGAAGGGGAAAGGTCATATTCAAAATGAGGATATGACATGAAAGTGAAGAACAGGAACAATTACAGAGGATAACACAGAGGAGTGCGGACAAATAGGATTGACGTCACTGTTGCACTGCATCTTTATGCGTGTCCCCTTTCCCCCAACAGCGGGCAACACGAGAAGATGCAAACTTGCCGTTTACCGGCCATCGCCATCCAATGTTGCTCATTTTCATCATCCGTGTTCTTTCCCCCGAGTCCTCATCGATGTTCCACTTGAACTCGGTTGAGTCGGCGCAATTCCACAGTATAATGTCACTACCGTCGCCTGCTTTCCCCTCGCGCACGCTCATGCAGTAGCGCGGGTTCGAGGAGAGCTTGATGAAATCGCCATCGACTGTCCAGCCGAACTCCTTGCCTTCGACGGGAGAATGGGGAAGCGAGTGAGGGGAGGGGGAAAGGGAAAGGGGATGGGGCAGAGAAAAAAGGAGGGGTAGGGATAGGGCGAGAGAGGGAGGCATCAAGGGGGCGAGGCATCGATTTGTATATATGAGAAAGAAAAGAAACGACAGGGAAAAGAGAGAGAGAGAGAGAGAAAGAGAGAGAGAGAGAGAAACAAAGAGAGAGAGAGAGAGAAAGAGAGAGAGACAGAGAGAGAAAGAGACAGAGAGGGACAAAAATCACAAAACACATACAAACAACAACAACAACAACAACAACAACAACAACAACAACAACAACAACAACAACAACAACAACAGCAACAACAACAACAACGAGACATAACCATAAAGAGAAACACGGAATAATGCATCTCTCGATGACTTATAGGTAAACACGTGCAAGCACATGCGCAACTGCATGCACACACATATACACCCTCACACACACACACACACTGGAACCATCGCGAGTGCTACGTGCGCGCTCACGTTCTAGAGTTGGTCGTGGGGGTAGAACAGAGCTGTCGACTTGACTACGCACAAACGCCTCTCACATGGTGGCCCGAGCTTGCGCCCACAGGGGCTGGAACACGCCTCCACGGTGCCACTGAAGGCTTCGAGACACTTTTGGAGGCGTTCGCAGAGGCAGATCGGGCCAACAAAATGCTCCGGGAGGCGCCCAGGAACGGCCAAGGATCCCGAAGTAGCTCCGGCGAGGGAACGGCGAGGCTCCCAAAGACACCGCGAGGTTCCGAAGTGTCTGTCCAGACGGCCTAAGCGATCCCCCAAAACGCTCCCCAAAACTGCCCCCCCGCCGCCGCCATTCAAGTGTTCCCGAAAGCCTCCCCGGGAACATCTGGACGGCGACGTGCCCCTCCCGAAAGCCCATGGGCCCGCATCCTTCTCCTCTGCCTTCTCCTCCTCGTCCTCCTCCTTCTCCCCGTCCTTCTCATAATTTTCCTTCCCGTCGTCCCCCTCGTCGTCCTGTTTTTCCTCCTTCTGCGCTCCTCCTCATGCCACTTGTTCCCCCCCTTTTCGACCCCCTCCTACGGTTCTCATGATGGCGCCCGCGGCCACGCAAGCGCCAGGCCGCAATGTGAATGCGGCGATCAAATGGCCAGCGAGTCTGTCGCACGTGCAAGCCCGCTCCGGCACGAAGAAAGCTGGCTTGAACGCGAGGCTTCTGTCGTCGTGGAGTCAAATCCGCCGTCGCGCCCCCGGGCAGGCGCGGGGACTGTCGCGTGCTGTCTGGTAGTCGCGTCGCCGAAACGGGGACAATGCGGCGCGTTTCGGTGGCGCGGTGGCGGAATTGCCGCAGGCAGTTGGATAGAACAGACACGGCGCTCCGCGATTCCACCTGCGCGCGACAGCAAGCAAACGCATGCTCGACCCACGCGGCGGCATTATCTGCGCGAAGACCGCCGGCAAGCTGCGGCGGAAGACTACACTTCTCCGTGCCTGGGCATCGAAACGCCGCGTCGTGGAAGGTCCACGACGAAAACAGCGCAGCCGCTGGTGTTTCGTCTGGAAACAACTGGGCGAATATGTTTGCGGCGGAAACCGGCCGCGATCGGATTGCCGCGCCCACAAAGCGGAGATCCACCGAGGAAAGGGGCTGCCTTGCAGACGGCCAGGTTCACGGCGTCGACCTTGCCCGCCCCTTCCGCGAACCTCTGTCGCGGGCGCGGCGGCGCCAGCTCGTCAGGTTGCATGGGGAAGAGCACCGCGAGGGATGCCCCGATGTATCCGAACAAAGGCATGTGCTGGATTTCGAACGCCACGCCATTCCCAGCGATTGCATCGGCCTCCCTCTTGGAACCTGCGGCCGCCATGTCAGCGTCCTGCAGATGGGCCTCATCCGAGAAAGAGATCCCGGAGCCCGATGGAACGTCGCGGGCAGCCGCTGGCTCGACCGCGCCCACCCCCCGCGAACTCGGCGCCCGCCTCTGCGTTCGCGGCGTCGCCGCCCTCGCCCGAGCCCCCCCGGGCATCGTCGGGCACGGGGCCCCCGTCGGCAGCGCCGCTGGGCGACGATGGGGGGGGGGGGGGGCAGGACGAGCCGAAGGGGGCAGCGGGGCTGGATCTGGAGGCGCGGGCGCCAGGCGTCGGGCCCAGCGGCCGCGGGCGGGCGGAGACGCCGCCATGCACTTCGCGGCCGAGAAGTTCGTGGGCATCTCGGCAAGGCGTGCACTGTTTTGCACCGCGGGTGCCGTCGGCGCCTCTCGCGGGCCATCGGGCGCATTCCGCCGCCCACGCGCAGCGCGATATATAAAACTGAGCCGCGCTGAACATTGCAGTCCGCCGCTGGGCCACGGAAAGGCCGACCGGGCGCGCGGCGGGGGGGCCCGGGCTGCGCGAGCGCGGGGCGCGCGGCAAGTTCGGCGCAACGCGCGCGCCTGGCGGATAGTTTCGGATGCTTCCGCGGCGCGGGAGGGGGGGGCGGCCAGCGGGGCGCGTCGCGAACTTTCCATGCGGAACTGGACTGTTGTCATGTGCCGTCCGCTCATGTCGCGCGGCATGTCCGATGGCCCTTCACATGTAGCGCTTCTCTGCGCGGCCACTGGCCGCCCCCTTGACCGCCGCGAGTGGCGGGCCCCCCGACCGCCCTCCGGGCGGAGATGGTTTGCGGCGTTGCCTTTTTCCAGCCCCGTCGGCCCCCGCCGGATCGGAAAAGAGCTGGCCCCTTTGCTCCCCCCCCCAATTAGGATTCGCAGGGGGGTGTCGAGACCTCAGCTCGCCCGCGCCGCCCCACCGCGGCGCGAGGATGGCCCGGGAAGACACCTGGAAATGACCGCCAATGTGGGGCAATATGGCGAGATCGCCAAACGCGGCGTCCGACATTCTCCAAGAGCTCCCAAGATCCCTCCAAGACGGCGTCGGCTCCGAGTGGCCGCGAAGCCTTCGGCTGGCTCTGGGCGGCTCCGAATGGCACTGATGGCGCAATGTGCTGTAACCCGTCCGTGACCTCAACAAAGGGAACACGATTTGGGATTCTGCCGCGCCGCAACGAATGGGCCTCGAGTCGCGAAGATGGCGCCAACGCAGCCCGAGAGATCGAGCCCCCAGAGCGACCCAAGAAGACTCCAAGATGGCGCCAACGCGGTGAACCAATCAGGATGCAATCGAATTCGAGGGGCCGCGACACGTTCAAAGCGCACAGAACGCTGGGAAGCCGTTGCCGCGTGGCCGCAGGATAGCCACATATTCTTGGAGGCGTCTTCCAAGATGGCGCAGCATGGGCGCAATTGGCTCGAGGCGGCGCCCAGGATGCCCCGCAATGGCCCCGAAACTGCTCGACGCGGCCCGGGGCGGCCGCGGCGCCTCCAAAGAGCGCCCCCCCAAAGGCTCGAATTCTTCGAAAACGCGGGGTCGCCGAATGATTGTTGCGTGATCGCTTTTCGCTGTCGATGGCCTTCTGAGTCCCAGTGCGCTCTCGGCGCTGCTACGCTGACGAGCGCAGCGCGGCGGGGGGGCCGATCGGGCTTCGATGTTCAGGATGGAGAGGAGGGCGAAGGTCGCATGCGCAGGCAACGCAACGGCCTCCTTGTCTCCAACCCATTTCCCGACGGGGGGGGGCGGGGGAGGGCGGGGGTGAGACGGGGGAGGAAGAAGGGGAAAGAGGTGAAGCGTTGGCAGCGCGAACTGCGTCGGTGACACTTGCGCCGGAGATCTGGGCCGCGGGCGTCCGCGATGCAGCGCGACGCTGCTACCGAGCTCATTGCTCGCGAAGATTCGTTGCTGAATGCTATGGGGAATGCGCCGTTCGCGGCGCGCTGCTGCTGCTGCGATTGCAGCGCTCGCCCATGTAGACTCCAGCGCAGCAGCGATGGTGTTGCCAGATAACATCTTCACGAAGACCTCTATTCCAGCGCGCGCGGGGCTCTCGGCCGAGGTCGCGCCAGGGCTCGTGAACAGCGCTGCGAATAAGTTTGGAGGTCGGAAAGGGGTGCGGCATAAAAGGAGCATGGTGCCAATCGTGGAAATGGCAATGCTATCTGCGATAAATGACATCGCCAGAGTCCCCTTCGCATGAGTTAGCACCGCGCCCCTTTATACCATGCCCCTGTCCTACCTCCAGACCAGGTTATCGAATGCGTTGTTGCGGAATCACGCGGCAACCCGCGCGCGGGCCGGCCCCGCGACCGGCGCGCGGAGGTCGCGCCGTCCGTCGCCGAGAAAACCGCGCGCCGCGACGCCGCCACTCCAGGGCAGGGCAGCGGGGCAATTTCCAGCCACAACCTGCGCGCGCGTCAGATCCGCAAACGGCGCGGGGAGGTCGCGCTGGCCATCGCCATCCCAGCCGCGCGCCGCGGCAACGCCGTCGCTCCTCCCTGGGAGGTCGGCGCGACAACGTCCAGCGGCAATCTGCGCGCAAGTCAGGTCGAGAACCGGCAGGGGGAAGGTCGCGCTGACCGTCGGCATTCCGACGGCGCGCCAAGACGGAGGACTCGCTCCTGAGCAGAGCGGCGCGGCATGGCTCTGCGACGACCTGCGCGTGGACCAGGCCCGTGGACAGCTTGAGGAGGGCGCGCTCGTCGTCGCGAGTCCTGCCGCATGTCGCGGCAACGCCGTCGCTCCTGAAGAGAACGGCTCGGGGCAATCGGGCGACAAACTGCGCGTAGGTCAGGCGCGCAGCCGTCGCAGGGGGGCGGCGCCTGCCGTCGCCGAGAAATCCGCGCGCCGCGGCGACGCCGCCCCTCCTGGGCAGGGCGGCGGGGTGAACTCCGGCGGCAACCCGCGCGTAGGTTCCAGGTCCTCTCGCGGGGGGCTCAGGTCCTAGCTTTCGGGCCCAGGCGACCCTGCGTCGTTAGCCCGCCGCCGCTTGCCACTGGGGTGCCCGGCGTGCTGGATCCTACTGGTTTGGACTCGGTTGTCTTCCTCCCAAATTGACCGGGGTTTCGGCCGCCCCGCCGGCCGCCTGGAAGGGGTCGGAAGCAACCTCGACGTCCGGAAAAGCTCCCCGGAAACGGCCCGA